AAAGCAGACAACTCCTTCCACAAACTACTTACTCTCTAAACATTTCACGCAGATGATCAAGGTCAAAGTCGCTTTTGTAGTTCATTGTTTCGTCCTATAGGGGTCTTTGCAGATATTATAGGTTATGTCGATTGTTGATTGTTTACATTTTTCTTTTGGAAGGAATTTGATACGTATTATTTTTATTAGTGTTCTCCGATAAGTTAGTTTGTATCTCATATAAACATATTTATCCAGTGTTATTACATTCTTACATTTAATATTTTTTCATCATTCTTAGTGAACTTCGTTTTCAACTATGTCGTGTAGGAAATGCTGCATTTCAAAGTGTTCAGCATCTGCACCGCTACACAAATTTCCAAATCCTGGAAAATATCTACAAAAATTCAGAATATNGGAAGGAAAAAGCTATAAAAAGTTCAGAAATCATGTTAAAGATGCCGTTGCAACTAAAGCGTACTACAATCTTGATGGAACTTTGCTGTGATTTAATATAGGTGTTTTTTTTTGTTTATATTTAGGTACACCTATACTTCAAATTATATTTTATACTGGGATATATCTTATTTTATTGCCATGACATGTGAACTTATATTCAAATTGTGTTGAATTTTATTTTCTATTGTTATATTTTATCTATTAGATATTGTGAACTTAGTTTTGCTCAAATTGTGTTTCTGTGTATTTGTGTTTTTGAATTGTTTTTTTTTCTTTTATTCTTTGAAGTGCTATATATACCTGATTTCTTAACAAGCTTTGTCAATAAGATTGTATTTTCTTGGACAATAAAGTATATGTCTATCTATCTATCTATCTATCTATTAGTTGACATTCTTGAATGATAACTTGCACTATTCATCTCGATCAGAGTTAGGTGAAATGACATCTACCATTTGCCAAGATTTTCTTCAACATCATCGTTAATGGCTTCATGGTAATAGCCAGAATGCTTTAGACCACTCTTCTCAAAATGCTTGACGCGACCCTGTAATGTATTTGTCATGCCACATCTTTCCAATGGTATATCTTTCGTTAAAGCAAGTTTCGTCCAGATGATAAATCTTTCTATTCTCACGTCGTACACATTAACAATAATGATTTTTTTGGCAGAAAAAGCACATCTGCTACTCTAAGTATAATTTAGTTATAACAACACTGATAAGACGAAAGGGCTTTATCATCAATTCATAGTCTTCAGGCAATAATGTACCCATTTGAAGCACTATTAATTCCGATCGAATCATGACGTCATTTCGGTTTTGATATCAATAACAAACATATTGAATAGAAATAGTCCTGAATGGCATCCTTGCGGTAACCCTGAGCTGTGTTCTAAATCAAAATGTCCGATGTATCTCTTCTCAATCGTCAAAGAAGAGGAAAAACGAATGAAATATAAAATTTAGCGTCCGACCGAAAGTTCGGTTTTGGTCGAGTTTCGGCAAAAAACGGGTTCGGTTTAGTTTCGGTTTCGGCGGCAAACCTGTCGAAACTACGACCGAAACCGGAACTGCATTCGGGAATTCTCGCGCTGTGATCGGTCGCGCGTTGAATTTCATACAAGGGAAGACATTTCATACCTATTGTGATATTAGGTAAAAACTTAAATAAGTAATTTTATATTTAATATTTTTGAATGTTCAGGGATTACTGATCAATGTAAGAAACTGATATCACGGAAAGTGTGCCGGTTTGTTCAACTGTTAGTTCGGCTTGATATTTATCTTCCCACAATGGTTGTACCACGTGCTTTAAATGAGAAATGCGAAGCGATTGTTATTTTTGGTGAGGCTCATCGCAATTATCATGAGGCTGTACGAATGTTCAATGAACGTTTTCCAGATCGCCGTATTGATAGACATTATTTCAAACAGCTGGTGGAAAAATTTTATGAGAACGGCAGTGTGCAAAATAAAACACGTTCTGGGCGATCAACTACAGCGAAAGATAAACAAGTGGACATTATGAGCCAGTTTGTGAATAATCCGTCTTCATCGAGTAGAACTGTTGCCTTGAATTGTGAGGTTTCGCAGATGACGGTATTGAGAGTTCTAAAGAAAAATAAATTTCATCCCTACAAAATAAAAATGGTGCATGAACTGACGGACGATGATCCAGACCGCCGCGCCGTCTAGAATATTGTGAAATTGTCTCTAACAATATTTTGCAAAATCCCAGTTATTTTAAACACATTTGTTTCAGTGATGAGGCTACTTTTTTTTAAACGGTCACGTTCATAGACAAAATCTGAGGTACTTGTTCGATGAAAATCCTCGACTTTTTCGTGAAACTCATACCCAGTTTCCCCAAAAAGTTAATGTGTGGGCAGGAATACTGGGTGACCATAGCATAGGTCCGTTATTCATTGAGGAAGATCCGACTGGTGCCCTCTATTTGGAAATGCTGGAAACAGTTATAGATCCACTGATAGTGGCAACTGTCAAAAACAATTTAGAGGAATTTGACATGGACATTATTCTGTAACAAGATGGAGCTCCTCCTCATTTTGCAGTTGCTGTAAGGACTTATTTGAATACTGTTTATGCAGGACGATAGATCGGGCGCCGAGGATCTGTGGAATGGCCCCCAAGATCACCAGATCTAACATCTTTAGATTTCTTCCTATGGGGTTACCTAAAATCTAAAGTATACGAGACTCAGTGTTATTCCATTCAGGAGTTGCGTGCGCGGATTACGGAAGTGTGTGCAACAATTACTCGCAATACTTTGCAAAGCATCAGGACTGAAACTAAAAATAGACTATATTTTTGCCAGGAGGTCAACGGGGAACATTTTGAACATTTACTGTAAATAACAGAAAAAGTTAGTGATAGTTTAGTTGCCTTCCTGTTTGTGGTGTAATTGTTTGCACGATTAAATAGAGAATAAAACCCCTATCAAATGAGCTATCACTCACCACCCCATGCTATTTGAATTTTTCAAAAGGGTAGCTCCCCTCCAGTAAGAGATGAAATTAGGGATGAACTGTTCATACTCAAATGTACATTGTAGAAATTAAAAATCGACGTGTCTCGGCGATTTTCCTTACAATAGTCCAGTAACGAGTTAGATAGGGAGGGTAACACTTATGATGCGCACTGAATAAGCTATTGAATGGCAAATTGGATTGTCCTGTACTATTATCAGAAATTGATATCTTTGTTCCAAGAATATCTTCTAGGCACATCAATACTTTTTTGTGCAAAAAGACATAAACTAACTTAATGTTGAAATCATCAATCAATCTGATATGTCGTAATGCGAACAAGCTCTCTACTAACATCGATATTTTTTGTTGCAGTATTTGTAAAATTAAAAATAAGTCTCGTGCGTACCTATAAGTCATTTATGTTTTCTATATCAAATATCAGGAAACTG